TATTGTAATACAGTATTTTTTTTTAATTGCCACAAAACACCTCTCTGGGGGTTTCTACAGGTTTAGCGCTATTAAGACAGCATTATCATGACAAACATGAGTTGTAAATAGGGATGATAAAAACTGAAACAGCAAAGTAAACAATGAAAAACTGATATTCTCTTAAACAACAATGTACACCCTCTTGGAACAAACACCCTCAAATATCCCTCATTGAAAGTGTGCATGAAATAGCGATGGACCCCTAAAGCAAGACAAATGTCTGACAAATTTACCCCCAATCCCCTGTGTATGTTTTCAATGGACTAGTACAGTCTCACGTCTAACATACATTCTTAAAACACATATACACACCCTAATGCACACCCAACCTGGGGCATTTTTTATTATCAAGCATGGAGGCAGTAAAACTGCTTAATTAAAACATGAATATTTTATAAGCTCTGGAGAGCCGTGGAGGGGCCACGAGCTAGCACTGGCAACGGTAGGAGAACGAGAGCTAGAGAGAGAAAAAGATACAGACACAGACCATCCGTCCAGCAGAGATAAGCGCTGTGCTTATCCTTCCCAGAGCAGTGGGAGCAATTTTATAAGCCGTACGCTAAAAACGTGTTTGCCTCTGGTGGCCAAACATGCTCATAACACACACACCCCCACACACAGTGACAGAGTGCCGCCCGCACAACCGTTTTCAGCCATCCACAATGAATCTGCTCACTGGAGTGAGGGACTGTGTGTGTGTGAGAAACAGAAAAGAGACACGACTACAACAAAACAGATAAGTTAAATCTTGTTATTGCGCCTAAAGATGAAGAACTGAGGACTATGGGGGCAGTCAATTTAAATTCCTTCATTTAGCAACATCACAGCCAAGCTATTATCGGCTCCACTCTCAATTCAAAGCACCTCGCTGAGAAATAAAAAGTACATGCTTTCATCTAGTTTAACCAAAGCTCTCTGAAACACATCGTCCCGAATAACAAAAAAGTGCAAGTCATGAGGACAGTATTTTCTGCTGTCATCACCTCACACCTGAAATTCTCTCCCCTGCTTTTTCTCACTCGACTCCCCTTCCATTCTGTCTCTCAAATCCAACCCGTAATCTGTCACTGCTCTGAGCTGCGAGAGATGAATCTACTCATCTCCCATGATGCCTTGCCTCTGAGCAATGGATCACATTCACACAATAGACATGCCTTTAGCATTTTAAGATGGAATGCACACTCTCTCCCTCATGTGTCCCTCTATTTAACTCTCCACTTTCTCTTTTAGGAATCAGTGGGAGGTGGGCTATTTCCACCTACGGGGGATGTGGGAGGAGGCACATCTCAAAATTGGCCACACATAAAATGGACAGCGTGCCATTAAGACTGAGCTAGGGATATCCACGGAGTTATAGGTCTTGTAGAGTAGCATTGTAATGATGCACAGCCTGTCTTTCAAAAGTCATCTTTCATTTGCCTTTCTGCTCTGGCTCCATCCAATGAGCCCAGCTGGACATTCCTGGCTCGCCTCCCAAGCTCACGATCAATTCATGAGATGTTCTCTCTTTATCACGCCCTCTGTACATCTATTCTATCTGCCTTGCTTGTCTTAGGGGCCGTTCACATATAAGTTCTTGCTGTATATACATACATTAGATGAGTGGTTTTGACTGTTGTGATGCATCGGCATTAAAGGGTTAGTTCACCCAAAAATGAAAATTACCCCATGATTTACTTACCCTCAAGCCATCCTAGATGTAAATGACTTTCTTCTTTCAGACGAATACAATCAGAGTTTTATTAAATAATGTTCAGGCTAATCCATGCTTTATAATGGGAGTGGATGGTAGCCCAAAATTCAAAGTTTAAAAAAATTGCACCCATCCATTATAAAATAAATCCACACGGCTCCGTGGGGTTAATAAAGGCCTTCCGAAGCAAAGCGATGCATTTGTGTAAGAAAAATATCCATATTTACAACTTTATAAAACCTTAATCTCTAACTTCCTCTAACTGTCGTATGCGCATTCACAAGAGAGTGGCGTCCAGCGGATGATGTATGACATAGGCGTAGCGTAAACTCCGGTGAGAATATGCTAGTCTCACGAGAAACAAGTTTTGTTTACAGCAAAGGAAAACCAGTGTCCTCTTGGCTTATATTGAAATCCTCTGCCATTTTTCTTTACAAATCCTTGTTTTGTACTACTAATTAGTGACCTGTGTTTTGTTTTGCTCTCTCCTCTGCACTTCCACATTCATCACTTCCGTGTTCGTCACCACGTTGGCCTACGTCCTACGTCATCCGCTGGACACCACTCTCTCGTGAATGTGCGTACGACAGTTAGCGGAAGCTAGAGATTAAGATTCATTAAAGGGGTCAATCGATGCCCATTTTACACAAGTTGATATGATTCTTTAGGGACTTAATGAAAAGTCTATAACATACTTTGGTTAAAATTTCTCAATGGTAGTGTAAAAAACACCCATTTTACCCTGTCAAAATCAGCTCTGTTTTCAGTACGCCGTTCAAGTCCATGTTGCTTTAAATGCTAATGAGCTCTGCTGACCCCGCCCCTCTCTTCCGTGGGGTGACGAACAGACTGTAAACTTCAGCTGTGAAACTAGCTAACTAGCACATATTAGGAAAGGCGATTTGCAAAGATTCATAAAAAAACCCTTATACTCACTTCTAGATGAAGCTGGATCATGAATGACTCGCACAAACTTAAACGCATTTAGGCAGATCGGGGATCGGCACATTCCTTTCAAAAACGAAAGTAACGTTAATCCTCTCCGTCTTCAGCGGCTCAGATGTTGGGAGTAAATGACGACTGCTATGTTCATTATTACATCCAGCAACAAAACACCTCAATCGCTTAATCTGAGACATTCTTGTCTTCCCCTGCACCAGAGTCGACACAAGGGCGGACAGCTCTCAGCTCACTCAGGGCGGGTCTTAAGGTAAGACGGACTTGTCAATCAACTATTGTGGGAGGGGCCTGTGCAGAACTACGTCATTCTGACAGGAATCTCAGAACAGCCTGATTTGAGAAAGGGGATTTTAAAATAGGGATTTAAAAAAAAACACTGGGTGGATTTTTATCATTATAGGGTGGATGTGTACACACACTTCCAACACACATTTATGTTCAAACAACAACAAAAGTGAATTTTGCATCCGATGATCCCTTTAAGTTGTAAATATGGATTTTTTTCTTACACAAACGCATTGCGTCGTTTCAGAAGGTCTTTATTAACCCCCCGGAGCCTTGTGGACTTCTTTTATAAAGGATTGGTTACATTTTTTGGACTTCAAATTTTGGGCTACCATCCACTCCCATTATAAAGCTTGGATGTTTTTTAATATAACTCCGATTGTATTCGTCTGTAAGAAGAATGTCATATACACCTAGGATGAATTGAGGGTGAGTAAATCATGGGGTAATTTTCATTTTTGGGTGAACTATCCCTTTAAGGATGGGCCACTGGCTGCTGAACATTTTATAGTAATTGATCGTGTTCATATTTTTATGCCTTGTAAACTTAAATGTTTGGTTTTCTTTTATGTATACATTGTCTACAATGTAAATTGTGCTGATTCATCAGCAACATATGTTATATACAGTAGCTGGTTGACATAGATGATGTTTTGTTGAATTTGCGAAAATAATTTGTGATCTTGGAAGCATAATTTACAATGTTTTGTTGAAAACTATAAACCAATCAGCCTTCCATTGGATGCCATAGTTTTAAAAAGTATGATTTATGAAAGTAAGAAGTTACATTATAATTGTGTAATTTGAACACCTAATTTAATGATAAATATATAAAGTATTTCTAGCAAATATATACACTACCATTCAAAAGTATTGGGCCCATAAGGTTTATTTAATGTTTTTTGAAACAAGTCTCTTATGCTCATCTAAGATGCATTTACTTTATGAAGAACACAGCAAAAATAGTAATATTGTTAAATATTGTTACAGTTTAAATATAAGTCTTTTCTAATAAAATTTATTTTAAAATGTCATTTATTCATGTGATGGCAAAACTGAATTTTCAAGAGCCATTACTTCAGGCTTCAGTGTCACATGATCCTTTAGAAATTAGTTGTGAGGCCAGTGAAAATGTTGACGGGCAACTAAAAAATTAGAACTAATTTCTAGTTAGAAGGTTCCTTCTATATATTCTATAATATTTCAGATTTTGCTTACATGTTTTATACGAATTTGTAAGCAAAATGTACATTATACCCAAAATATGCTAAATTATTATAATAAATTATTCTCCATTTTTAGCTGTTTTTGGTGGCAAGAACATATTCTGTGAAAACGGCCCCCTTATCACTTGGTTCAGCTGTATAACAATCACACATATGATTAATTACACACCTTTAGTGCTCTTTTACAGATAGTTTTGAACACTGTGAGTTGTGGAGATCCATCAACCCTTTGTGTTTTTTAACAAGCAGAAAAAGGTAATGCATAAAAGAGAAGAAGGAACAGAAAGTCCACAGAAAGGTCAAGCAGTGCAATGGGGTGAGTGATCTTCCAGTCCAATGGCTGCAGCCTCTCCTAGGGGTTGAGTTTCTGTGCCACAACCGCTCTTGGAGAAGAGATCACATCATAGCTCTGAACTCAGTAACCAGCCCCATTCCATTCCTAATAATCAATCTCCAAGCGCATCACCACCGCTATCCCGTGCCACTCCCAGAGCATGTCTGCCGCATTAACTCTCCCACGGGCCGATCCGATATCCCTATCTGAACCCTCACAGGATCACACATGGCGCCAAGAAGTCAAGGTCACTCAGCTAGGACACATCAGCTGAAACCTAAAACCTTGTTTTTTTAACCTCCATCAGTTCTCTCTGAACTCTTGTTTCTTCAGCTTCGATTGTTCTGTTGCTTTGCTACTAAATAAGACAAGCTACCAAACCCACAGTGGGAACAGAGAACAACATTTTTTAATTCAATAACCATGCTGCGTTATAACTAGACAAAAACTGTTAGCTTACCGCTAGTGTCAGTGTCAGCTGTTCCTTCTTTCACAACAGGGATGCAGTTCTCCAAGTAGACTCCGTCCCGGTAGCATCCACTGGTTTCTTTGTCCGGTGGGGGCTGGTCCCAACATTGGCAGGGTGTCTGCATGATGCCACAGGGCCGGTTGGAGGTACTGTAGGTCAGGCAGTCCTCCAACCATTGGCACAGCATTTGACAGGCAGCCATGCTGGGGTTACGCTTCCCAACCACAAGATACTCCACCTTAAATTCCCCATCGCCATTCCTGGGCCCGGCGCCTGCTCTGGGCAGCCCTTTCCGGATCTGCAGGAATTGTTTCCCGGCTTCCAGGAAGGCAACGTGGGTAGAGGCATCACACAGCTTCACCACCTCATCGAAGCTCTCCATCCCGAGGAAGGTTCGTGTCGTCTCCAAGAAGGAGTCAAACTGGAAGGTCCGGTGCTGTCGGGGAATGCAGTCTCTGGTTGGTTTTGTGACCTTGATGAAGATGGTGTAGCGCCTTGGGTCGGGGTTCTGCAGGGTCCAGGAGCAGGGCGTGCTGGGAAATACCGAGGACGAGAGGAAGAATCCAAAGAAGCGGCTCTGGACCAGTGTGGAGCAGGTGTCAGACTCCGGACCAGAGGGGGCAGCGTTGAGCATGTCCAGCCGCAGCAGTTGGAGAAGAGGGAAAAGCAGGACCAATGATGAGCAATTCCGTAAGAATTTTGATATCATGGCTGTAAACGGCAGAACGGTGTGCAGAAAAGTACGAGGCTGAAGATATCTCTTACTGGGAACCTCTTCTTGTTAATGTAGGATCAACAGCCTTGTTTTGTTGAGAAGACGATATTCTCAGACGTTTGCAGAACCGTCTGAACTGACAGCTCAGGATGAGAGGGAACTCTGGCTCATTGATCCAGTTTGCTGTCCATGATGCCAGACGCCCTCAGAGAGATCTGCAGGATTAGAGAAGACAGAAAAAAGACTGCATAAGCCAGATGGAAAAACAAAAGCAATTATCCATTAACCAGATAAGAGTGAACATAATAACTTCAAAAGTGTGTAGACACCGACATGACTGACTTTGGTACTTAGAAATTACCACGCTGGGCTATATCGATCCAGAAGTGTCGCACCTGTGCTTCACATTCAAAAAGAACACTTTATTCCGTGTGATGCAGTCACTTTCAGCAAAAACGTCACCCTCAATCTTGTATTTCATCAGAGCTCAATAATTTGTCCAATTATGGGGCAATCAATTACAAAAATATGAACACCTGCTGTCATTCATTATTTCCAGTGCATTTGCTTCATGCCAAAATGATCAATAGCCTCAGTCCTCTGCGAATCATTAGGCTAAAAGCGGCTGGATCATCTCTCAGACGGGCCTGATTGTAATTCTTTTCCCTGATAATTCAGTGTCTCGTGCAGTTTTACAGCACTTAAAGATAAGAAATATGTGAGGTCACATGCAAGAGCAGTAGACAGACATCTTGGAGACTATTCTGATGTAAACGCAAAATTTCCATGTGCCATTAGTCACTTTACAAAGTGAGCGCCCCGGCACCAGGCTCACTCTGAGAGCAATAAACCATACAAGAATATACTATGCAGATTTTATTCTAGGTTAATCATCCTTATCTAAAGGCATTAGCTTTGTTCCTCATATTCACCATGCTAAGAAATGAGACAAACCCAGACAGGTTGAAAAAAGTGAGTCATATAGGTTCTAAATACTGGTGGATTATGGAAATGGATGAAGAAAAATGGGGCGCTTCATTCACATGAAGTGATGTGATATTTATAATAATAATCGTTACTACTTTAATATGTGTAATGAATCTGTTCAGCAACTCCTTCCTCTCGATATTGTTGATAAATACAGCAGTCGCTATCAGCGTATATAGCAGGGTATTGTTAGAGATTAGGAATTTCCGCAAAGATGCTGGATAATGCTGTTATGAATGTGTGTGGGTGAGATCGATGTGCGTGTCTATGAGAGTGTGCATTCTTTAGAAAAAGAATGAAACTAATAGATGTGTGTGAGTGTGTGTATTTCAATCACAGCACTGAATGCAGTTTTGTGAATGTGCAAGAATGAGTGTGTGAGTCAGTGTTATTTTTTGCACCATATTTAGTTTGTCATACTTTTTGTCTTTCGATGAAAATGTAATTTAAGTCAATATTTCGTCAAGCTATAATCATTAATTTTAGTCCATTTTACGTTGACTGAAATGGCATATCATTTTAGTCGACTGAAATAATTTTGAGTGAGCTAAAATACCCGTTAGCAAATCAGTTCATTTAACTGTGTTCAGTTCTCGCAGCTCAAGCAGGGCGGTCACAACCATACTATGACTGGATTATTTGAATGAATTCTTGATATTTTTCTTCTCTTAAAGGAGTCCTATTATGCTCTTTTACAAAGTCTTGATTTTGTTTTTGGGGGTGTACTAGAACATGCTCTCATCTTTGGTGGTTCGAAAAACACATTATCCCCATCCTGGCACAAACGGCTCGATTAGTTCCGGCTTTGATGAAGGTCTGCCTTCCGAAAAACAAAATGTGTTATGATTGGTTAGCTGTCCCAGTGCGTTGTGATTGGCAAACATCTTAGATGGTGTTTCAGTACTGCCACGCCCCTTGCTCCGTCTTTCAACAAAAATTTTGGCCGAATCCGGCACTGTACTCCCTCGTGTAGTGGAAGCTGTCCTCAGTAAAATGCGCAGCACACAATAGCAAATTGGGGTTATAATGCACAGGGACAGAGTTAAAAAATAAATTGCAACCACTGTTTCCTGACATCATCCACTTTCGGAAGCCCAAACAAAGACGTTTGGGCACGGAGGTGAAAAAAACAGTGTTTCAGGCGGTCGCACACAGAGAAGCGCAGCGTCGCGTCGCGCCACGCTTTAAAAATTCAAATACTTTATTTTCTATGAGTGTAGGCACACCAGCGCGCCGTTCGGCATCTGTCCGTGGCGCCCAGCTACGTCGTGTTATACTTGTAAGAATTGTTCTAGACATGCCGAACATTTGACGCTACAGCACAGCAGCTCTTCTTCTTGGTTTTCTCTGATGCACTAACTCTGCAGCAGCACTTCTTCTTCGTCATCTCGTCTGATGCACTCACTCAACCAAGCGTTCTAACCACAACCTCGACCCTCCCCACCCCCCAACCATTCGAATTTCTGTTGGCGGGAATTATTTGTAATGATATTCCAATGAGCCGCTTTGTGATATCACAAAGCCCGGAAAACAAACGCTGCAGTCCAAACGAGCCGTCCGTTGTAGTTCTTGAAAAGGGATAAAAAAAAACGAAATATCTCCCTTTGGAGTGGACTTTGAGATTTGTAGCATTCTAGATCTTTTTTATGCCCAAACATACACACTACACACTGACTAAAATTAAAAAAGTGAAAAAGCATAATAGGACCCCTTTAAAACTTACGTCATGCATTGTTCTTGTCTTGAATCATTGTTTCCTATAGAACATTGCTGTTATGTATATTATATATATTAAAACATACAATGCCGCACATTGTCTTATGAACACCCAGTAATTATTAATATTCATTAAAATTTCTCAAACCTGTTTCATAAACATTTTATATCACTTAAGTAATGTTAATTTCCTGTTCAGTAAGTGAGTCAGATTCAGTAATCATCCTGGGGTGTATTTCCAAAAAACATTGTTATCTAACTATGGTCGCAAGTTCCATTGAACTCTGTTGGTAACAACGAAACCTGCGTTGAAATCACCCCTGATTGATTCAGTAATGTTATTCAGTAAAACATTTGTCAGACTGATTCAAGATGGTCAATCTATAAAACAATGATTCGTTTTTTTTTTTTATAAATTCTTTAAAAGAACCGAGTCATTAGCTTGTGATTTGGTTAACCCAATTTGTTTTTTAATTAGACTACATGAGAACGCAACACAAAGATATTTTTTTCTTGAAATTATATTACGTTGCACATTATTTTGATCTCATCACATTAAAATCAGACTGAATGTATTCAGCAGCGGCAACGTGGTGCAGAAAACACAAACATTTTGACAAGTAATTTCTTTTATGAGATCAAAAATAAGATTAATTAAAGCAACAAAACTGACCCAAATCTAAACCTCTCTCTCTACAGACTGCATCCTGGAGTCCTGGTGGCACAAACCTGGGGTGAAAAGCAGATCAGAATACACGGCTGACTGCACCGGTGGTTTCGTTTTTTTACGGGCAGATAATATAAAAAAAGCTCCAACTGATCTCAGCATGACCTCAAACATTGCCTTACACACACACACACACACACACACACAATGGCACATATCTGCTTGGTCCCAGATAAGCTCTGTTCAGGATGCTCAGAGCATAAGTCTTTAAGTGAAAGAGTGGGCGTTTTTCGAACAGAATAAACAGTGCTTTTCATGCCAGTGGTATCCATAATGAAGCTGGAGGGTGTAATCATCTAATCCGTGTCTTAATTTAGCCTTGACGTTAACCGGGACATTCTCAAGGCTGAACCTCAAGAAATACCTCGACTGATGCAGGGATGATCGCTCATCCTTTCTATTCTGCCCCAAGAAATTTAGCTATCCCAGCATGCACTGGATGGGGTTTGTGAATCAACAATGGATGCCATTGACTTTCAATGTATGGGCAACTGAATTTTTCTTCTTAATATCATATCAAAAAAAAAAAAAGGAAAGTCATACAGATTTGGCATTTCCTAATCTGTCACTCTCTCACATGTGCGTGTCAAGTGTGTCACGATCAGTTCCGTGCTGTAAAGGCATTATGGAAACACTGACTGCTTCTCACATACTGTTAGCAGCCTCGGATTGAATATGCTGGAAAAATTGCTCATTCTGCCCCAAGAAATTTAGCTATCCCAGCATGCACTGGATGGGGTTTGTGAAACAACAATGGATGTCATTGACTCAATGTATGGGCAACTGAATTTTTCTTCTTAATATCATATCAAAAAAAAAAAGGAAAGTCATACAGATTTGGCATTTCCTAATCTGTCACTCTCTCACATGTGCGTGTCAAGTGTGTCACGATCAGTTCCGTGCTGTAAAGGCATTATGGAAACACTGACTGCTTCTCACATACTGTTAGCAGCCTCGGATTGAATATGCTGGAAAAATTGCTCAAGCAGAAAGGGCTCACATACTGGCACTGACTTCTGAGAGAAGAAAAAGAGAGAAGGAAAAGAGAGACAGGTATTTTCTCATAGCAGGATTATACCATGATTACAGGGGCCATGATGGGGCCTGCTTTTCACATTCATTAGACAGAAAAGAAGCCATTGAGGGTAATCATGATTTCACCAACCTCTTGGAAGACCACCTTCGTTCAATTAAGCTTTTACCCTGTTACTTGTCGTTATATTATTCTTTTCACTGTCTGTCAGGGACAGCATGTAATCATAGTATGTCCCTGGAAATGGTGCCTAAAGTATTGCTGGTAGTTTGTATAAAAACATTGGGTGGGGAGAAAAAGATGCAGGAGTTAGAGGACGTGGATGAGAAAGAGAGCAACAGATGAAGAGAAAGATAGAGAGAAGGAGAAGGGAAAGAAGACAGGCTGTCGTTTCTCATGCGTGCTCTCGTTCATCGGCGTCTCTTTCCACGCTCCGCCCCTTATTTATTTTTTCTTCCTCTCATATTAAAGAGCTACAATGACACCCCGGCGAACAAGGTTATTTGAGCAAACAGAAGGCAACCAGCGCTGCTGCCTCTTTCAAGACCAACCTCATTCTCCTCTATTTGCGCTCCAGCGTCTGTGACAACAAGCGCTATAGGCCTCACGCGGTCGTGGAATGAAAGAGATAATTATCTGTCTCTGGTGATGAATGTGTTTACCGTGCTAAATGCCAGGCCTTCTTTCATCAACTTATAAACCGTTGCTTTTCCTATCAGACAGAGTACAGAATGCGGAGGGATATTGCATCA